TGGCCCTTCCCCTTCCCCTGCCCGCCCTCCCGCTGCCGTGCCTCTGGGCTGGGCTCCGGCCCTTCAGGGCAGCGGGCCGGTCTGTGCGCGGCTGCAGTCAGAGCTGGAGGGCTTTTCTCCTCCTGCCTTGTGCTGCGGGCCTGGGCCCGGGGGCTGTTGTGAGGGCCCGAGCGGTTCCTGTGAACGTTTCTCTGTACAACCCTTTGCAATGCTGCGCGTTACTACGGGCGTAATAAAACTTGTATCGTGGTAGTTGCTTGCTGACGATGAAGTTTAGTGGTACCTTCAGCTGCTGTGGGGGTCATCTCTCCAAATTTTTGTGTCTGTGTAAAACTAGGGGGAAGATGATTTTGAGTATTTCAGTTTGTGGAGAAAACTCTTTTTTCCCTTGCAGATTTATGTGCTTGATAGTGCAGGTGAGATCCTATGGTCACCTGAGAGCTCAATTTCACACAAGTAACATTGGAAATAAGTGTCCAGCCTTAAACTGCTCATTTGCTGCACTGAATGTGCATGGTTTCCACTCTTGGCAGGTTTAGCATTACAACATAAAGGATTTCTGTCCTGATTCTGCAAAATTTATTGAGGTGCTTCTGATGAAAGTGCTGCTCAAGTCAGTAGATTTTACTCGTTCTCTTTTCTGTTACTATGATGGATTAGAGAGTGATTTCCTTACCATGACTGTTTAGTAGTGAAACAGTGTAAACAGTGAATGTGTTTGATAGTAATATTAAAATGCTAGTAGTGGCTAAGGTGCTTGCTTATGTGTCTGAGTGAGAATTTGCCATTGATTAAGCTAAACTACTGGTAATGGAAATTTTTCTGATAATCTCTGTATCACAGATTTCCTTAAGTTGTTAGAGGAGTGCTTCAAATACAGGTGTGAGGAGGTGGGAAAATGTTTCTTTCCATTTACTACAGTATGGTATAGCTAGTAAGTTGCTTACCACACTTCTTGCTCTAGGTGTGTGTACACTAAGGACAGAGTCTGTACTGAATCATAACTAAAACTTGCTTGCATGCAATGCATTTTTGCAGAAGTAAGACCTGCCATGGCGTACAGCATCTATGCAGTGACCTCGGATCATTCAGTCTGACCGCATGTGTTAGTGATTGAAAGGTGAAGACCTTCACACCCATTGCTAGGTGTCCATGGAAAGTACCTACCAGTACTCAAACCACTTTGAATCAGAGGTGCAGCTTTCCTGGAAAAGCAAATGGCTGGAGCCTTAAGGGCACTCAGGTAGCACTGGAAGTAGCGTCATAGAGAAAGCAATGCCCTACCTTGTGTCCATGTGCAACAGTGAAGCAAATTCATATATGTTTGTTTCTGGTTTAGAACAATGAGGTCTGCTGTATGCTCTCAGTTTTATTTTGCATGTATTTCGTTTCCTGTTATATAAGGAAGACATTTTTTATGATGAGGGTGGTGAAACACTGGAACAGGTTGCCCTGAGAGGTGGTAGAAGCTCCATCCCTGGAAACATCCAAGGTCAGTTTGGATGGAGCCCTGAGCAACCTGGTCTAATTGAAGATGTCCCTGCTTACTGCAGAGGTGTTGGGCTAGATGACCTTAAAAGGTCCCTTCAACCCAAACCATTCTATGATTAAAGAGGATAGTATTCAAAAACTGTATCTGGAGTTTACTGAGGACTCGGGGATATCTTTAAAAGCTGTCAGTTCACAATACTTTTGTGAATTCAACTTCTTTTTTTTTTCTTTTTGTATGGTATAAGCATGTATATTGTAATGTAACACTCCTGAGACAGTCTATATTTGAAACGTCAGAAATCAGCAATGTGAAAGACGGGAAAAATTGTACCTGTTTAGTTAAAACATAGTGAATTTCTTCACTGTTTAACTGGGAAAGGATTTGACTTTCAAGTAAGAACAAAATAAAAACAAAAGAGATTTTCTGAGCATAAAGAAGAAAAAGCTTGATGGACCTTGTTACCTCAATGTTTCATTGGAAGGCCCTTTAAAATAAAATTATGCTGTGGTAGAGGAAATTGACGTAGCAGAGGAAAGAGCACATCTAATGTAGAAGCTTTGCCAAACTTCTTTGTATTAGGATTTCTATAAATAAAAATGGAGGTCATCAACAGTTTTAATTTTATTTTACACGTCTCTCTCTATGGAACAAGTAAATTTATTCATTTGGCATGCTATTAAGTTCTGCCATAGAATTTGGAGACTCTTCTTCAGTCTTTGGTATTTCCTAAACTGAAAATAGGCTATTCAATTTTTAATTCTTTAATTTCTAGCTAATGTTTGCATATGCTAAACTGAAAATAGGCTATTCAATTTTTAATTTCTAGCTAATGTTTGCATATGTGTCTTTTAAAATAGATTGGTTCAAAATTGCTGTGCATGTTAGAAATCACATTTAGTAGATAAATGTCACTAATAATGATAGTCAGATTTGTAGTTTCACAAAATAGAGGTAAACCTCTTAATTCTTTAAACAGGTCTTAAAAGTTACATCTCCAAATGACAGGATGGCAAAATTGATTGAATTTCTGCTTCAAAGCAGAACTGGTACTACCAAAACTGTTGCAGAAGTAAAGGTATTGCAACTGGTGCCATGTCAATGGATTATTGTCTGTATTGACTATTGTCAGATGGTAACTAAGCCATTTCCACAATCAAGGTACAAAACTGATTTCCAAAGTTATTCAGTATTTTTTTTTCCCTGACTTTAATTAAAGATGTTTGTATACTTTTAGTGTGAAAAATCAAGCCATTAATTCCTGTATTGTACACTGGCAGCTAAGCTTTTAATTGTATCTATACCTGTTTTTCTAGCAATGCCTAATTTTCTATATTTTACGCTACTAATCTGAAATTTTTAAAGTCATATTTGTGAAAACCTTTTGATATTTCCAGTTTTCACTGATGCAAAAAGCAGAAGTGGAAGGCAAAGTGAATGACACTTATATCCAATTTGTTGATGGGAAGAAAGCTGGTTCAAACTGTTTAAAGGCCAGGACAACACAACAAGCTGTTAGGAAAAGCAGAAAAATAACTGTTGGGTTTCCAAGCTGTGGTTGGTTTGTTTGGTTTTTTTAATTATAGAATTTCATTAGATTTCTCAGTCTTGCATTTTTGAATGTTGTTTTTATTTTTCTTGTTCCAGACTGGTGTGAGTTTTGGAGATCAGCCATGGGCATTAAAGGTTTGCAGGGATTTGTGGCAAGAGTTTGCCCTGATGCATGCAGAACGGTAGATCTGAGAGAGGTGGCAGAAAAACATCGCATCGATCATCCTGATTTCCCGCCTGTTATTGTCGTGGATGCCATGAGCTGTATTAGGTCCTGGTACACACCAGAATTCTGGGTGTGCGGTGGCCAGTGGCGCGAGTACCTTGCCAGTTTAGAGGATTTTATTAAAGCTTTTACGGACGCTGGTATCCAGTTGGTGTTTTACTTTGATGGAGTGGTAGAAGAGAAGAAGAGAGATGAGTGGATCAAACGGAGATTGCAAAATAACAAGGAAATAGCCAGAATCTTTCAGTTTATCAAGACTCACAGGAAACAACCAGGGCGAGAAATGTTCACTGTTCCTTCAGCTTTGCCTACTTTTACGCGTTTTGCCCTGAAGTCACTTGGTCAAAAAACAGTATGCACTTTGCAAGAGGCAGACTTTGAGGTGGCTGCGTATGGTTTGCAACATAACTGCATAGGAATTCTCGGGCAAGATAGTGACTACCTCATCTATAATACATGCCCTTACTTTTCCATTGAGAAGCTCTGTTTGAACAGACTGGTCACCGTTATGTACTCTCGAGAAGATCTTTGCCGTGCATTGGGTCTTAGTTTGACACACCTCCCTCTCTTTGCTTGCTTGCTTGGCAATGATGTTGTTCCAGAAAGCTTGTTGGAAAGCTTTTGGCATAAATGTTTAGTCACAAGTCCCCGCAAGAATAACAGCTACAACAGAAGAACAAACATACTTCTAGCTGTAGCAAATTACATCTCAAAAGTTCCATGCTCGCACAGCAGCCTGAAACAGTTGGAAGAGATGCTACCTTTGGGATCAGACAAGACATTGCTTTACAGAGGAGTGGAGTCCTATCTTTTGCCCGGGCAGCAGTCTCCATGGATTCCTCCCAACTTAACAAATTGCCAAATGTTCTCCCTCCAACAACAAACAGCCATGTGTCAAGATGAGGAAATCTTTCAGGTACCTTGTTTTTTAAAGCTTAATGCTCATTTTATTGCCATGACTACTTAGTGGATGTTGGTAATGAGTACACTGAACCTATTGATTTAAATTTCCTTGAGCAAAATCTTTTGTCTGTTAAGTACAGCCATGGTTAGGACTATTACATGCATCACATGAGGGCAGATGCAGCACACTTAATTAAAAGTGGTTCCTCTCTTTTTGAAGCATCAGGCAGGTCAAACAATGGGGAGCAGCTCCTGTGTAGGCCTGTAGCTGGGCTTAGAGCTGTACTTCCCATGTATTGTACAATCATAGAATAGTTTGGGTTGGAAGGGACCTTTAAGGTCATCTAGTCCAGCCGCCATGATGTAATGTCTTGCTTTTTGCTTTGAGAATCCACAGGTCAGCTACATCTGGTTAGCGGTCCGCTTGGCTCTGCCTGGCCTGTGCAGTCAAGGTGCCAAAGGGAGCTGTGCTAAGGATGCAGAAGTTGAAATTTCTCTGAGGAGATGAGGAAGCTTCCTATAGATCTGTATTTTGTGATTTTTGGAACAGGTAAATTATCCTCCAGATTCATTGTCCCTGAATGAACCAAAAGCACTTTGAGTCATTTGTTAATCCTTAAAGGGCAGGGGTGCACTAGCAAGTTTCACTTATGTCTTCCCACATGGCAGAGATGTGCTGGGGTGAGAAATGGTACAGTCAGATTGGGTCACTCTGAGGGACTGAATGTATTAGCTAGGGTAGCCGACCTGCCTGGTAGAAAACTGAGCTACCTTGCATCAGACTTTATGCAGTAATAGTAAGTATAGAGTACAATCCTGTAAATTCATGACAATTAAGAGAACATATTGAAATTTAATTAAAAAAAAAAAAAAAAAACCCAAACACACTATACAAGGTAGTGTATTTTAGACCCTATATTAGCCATCTGTTATTCCCTATTTTGTTAGGTACCTATAGACTTCAAATAGAGAGTCTTTTTTCATCTGTATGTTACTTATCTTTAGCATTTTCTTTAAAACTATTTTTTGTTTGCTCATATTACTCTTAATCCTCTAATTTACGTTTTCCTTTTTTAAAAAGACTGTGAAACATTTAAAAACTACATTGTAACTGATGCAATGCTTATTTCAGTTAAATTGCAGGTATATTTGGGTTTTTTTATTAACCACACATAGATACAATACGTGTCACTTCTGACTGTAGTAGTTCAATGAAGGCATTATTTAAAAGAACCAAAAACCCCACATCCTAATAAACTGTTGAAAAATACTGTTTATGCTTGAAGTGCAAGGAAAAAATAGCCAGAATGTAATTATCTAGGTTGGATTATGGCCAGGACAGTAGTAGTAATATCCTTACTCCTTAAGAGAATGTACCATGCGGTCTTTATGACAAGTGGTCGTTATTTCTTGGCTTGATCTTTTATTTGAAGGGTTGCAGTTCTCTAGCGTCATGCTGAGCTACTGCTGTAATAAAATAATGTTTAGAAACTCCATTGAAGAATTGCCTCACTGTTGCTGCATAAATCCTGTGTTAGGCCAGTCCCTGAGCCAAGGAAATTACAGTCAAAGCTGCAGATACGTTAACTTGTCTTTTGTTTTTGTTAGAGGTGTTTAAATATTTGTATATGTAATGTGTGTGCTTTGCTTCATATTTGGAAACCGGTATGTAGTTCTGCTTACGTTGCACATAATCTGAACTGCACGGAAATGACGTGCACAACTCAACTGCAACCTGGAGGACACAGCTTCATGTTGCTGTTTCTCTCAGAAGAGAAGAGCATAACTTTCTAGCTGACTGGGGGTGTAAATCAGAAATGTTTTTCGAGATACAGCATTGAATATAGCAATACTTTTTAAATCAGCTTGTATTTTTTTCAGTACATAAGGATGTGTGGATTATTGGCAAATTGCAAGAAAGTAGTATCTTCAAATGATCTCATCTCTTTGGCAGTGGTTTAAATGAAATAGTTCAGTGCTTCAGTTAGTTTTGATCAGTAACGACCCGGTGATTGACTGCAGCTTTTCTCTGCTGAGTTCCCAGGTTTGCAGATACCGGAATTCTGCAGAAATGGTGAATATGGCTCTGGCCACTGGTAATTCCCAGTGAAAGAGGCCGAGAAAGCTGCATGGATGGCACAACCCAAATAATACAGAAAGTGTGACACGTGCAGGGAACACAGAGCAGAGAAACTTCAGTGCCTGCTCACCATACGGCATGGGTCCAGGAGATTTTGTTAGTGGCACCCCATGGAAATAATTGTCTCTGCTCAGCTGTTTGAACACCCCCATAGTTTTGGTCTGAGGTTGTGAAGTAGAAAGGCTTTTCACTTGGCCAGTCCAGGTTACAAGTGTTACTGGTTGAAGTTCTGCGCTGCCTGGGAGCAGCTTTGTTGCTTCTGCATCTAAGCTGCTCCAGACCAGTGGTCCCTGTTGCTCCTGAGGCTGCTTACAGTAGCCAGCTGCTGTAGCCAGATGTGTCTCTCTCCAGTAGGTAGTTAATATGCAGCCTGGGTGATGCTGAGAATCTGCTTTTCAGCAACAGCCTGCACACCTGGTTTTCCTCACTAAAGTAGATTGTGTTTCTTTTTTTGGGGAAGAGCTATTGTAAAGTAAGTGTGGTGAAGTTCAGTATTGTAATTTCACCGCAGTGTAAACCATGCAGACTCAGCTCAGGAAAGAAATGATCTTATGTAATTCATCTTGTGATAAAATTAAAAGTTTGAGCTTTGTCATGCCTTCACTCACTGTTTAAAGAGGGAAGATCTGTTTCCAGGTGGCTAAAGGAGGGCAGCTCATTTTTCTATGTCTGAATTCAGAATGCATTTTAAGAATAATTACACTAAAAAATTGCCATTAAAAATCCTAAGTTTTAAGAATTAAAGGAGGAGCTAAAAAAGGCAATGATGGTTCCGTGGGGATTCCTGTCCACAAAAAGCTAGATGTCTGAAAATATACTGTACTGCTGTTACCTGAAAAAGCACTTGTTCCCTCCCTGGCCATTCCCTCAGTTTCCACTGGTAGAGAAAGTACTATTTCCTTGACCAGTGAATACATTTTGTTACTTGTTGATCCTTCTTAATTTTGGAGGTAACGTCTTCTTCCTTCTTTGAACCAACAGTTAGCTAAAGAACAGCATATCCAATCTGAAAATTATACCATCTTCAATATCCTGAGTAATGGGGTGATTGAGTGCAGCAACTCTTTGGAAGATGAATGTGATACAGAGATTCCTGGACAGGCACTTGTCTACCGCCCTGCTCGTCAGCATATTTATTCTGTCTTGTTGGAATCTGGAAAAGGTAAGGATTAAACTAGTTACACCATTATTCAAGTGTACTTTCAATTTTTAAAGATTAAATCTTGAATTCATTGTTTCAGTGGCTACATCAGCATGACATTTAGGATAAAAGCTGTGGGCAGCTGAAGTGTACTTCTTAAGGTATCGAGAGAAAATGTGACAATGAAATTGCAGTTTTTCTACATGTTGTTCAATTTCAGTGCTTCTAAAGAGATTTCTGAAAAATTGGGGTTTTTTTCCTTTTTAAAGGGAAAGTTGTGAAAGTTGTTAATGATCAGAAGATTGAGCAAAACAATGACACTTAAAAGATTTTAAAAGCTTGAGGAGATATGAAACCTTATATTGCTTTGATAAGTGTAGCTCCTGATGAATTAGTGAGTTGTACACTTCTGCAAAACAGTAATGCACTATTACCTTCTGTTGATTTTAAGTCTGCAATTTTAAGAACAGAGGATAGTCAAATATAGTTCTTGTAGTAATACAAATGCAAGTAGTCATGCCAGTGATTGTTCTTTCATCAAAGTGCGAGAAAATAATGTTTCTTTAGCCAGTGGTATCAACACATTCTGTAGCAGGTATATATAGATCTGTGCTTCCATTCTTCTGCTGTAAGATAGAGAACTCTTCATTCAAATCCTTGGACAAATACTATGTTCCTAAGACTTCTATTAGTTTAATGTTATCTTTAGCTACAGTGTCTTTTAGGCAGTGAGTTGAAAATTAAAAATGTGCTGAACTTTTATTCTTCTTAGTATGTTGATGTCTCCTTTGTAATCACTTTATTGATGAAAGTGCACCACGATCAAACCTACTATTCAAACTATATGCTTAGAAAGGCACAGAAAGGTAACTAAGCACCTGACTTCCTTCAGCAACTGGAGGTTGAAGTTGTGCCATAACTGGGGGAAAAAAAAAACCCGTAGGAAAAACTGAATCAGAGTTTACATAGTCATTTGGAGAGAGTAACAAAATATCTCAGCAGTAATCATGCACATCTGTCATTTTTCATTTTTCGGCCTACTGGCTCTAAATTTTGTAGACAATTAAACTTGGTTGGGTTTTGTTTATTCCTCTAAGCAGCAGGATATTCATTGATGTTTTCAGAAACACCCAGGCCAAAACTTCTAATTAACAATTGTTGCTACGAGGTGGCAGGGTAGTAGGCAGATTTGCATTTGTGTTACAGTGTTTGTAGTACTCAGATGAAGAACATTAGAACTGAAATACAAAAACATTAATTTAGAATCTTATTGAAAATGAAATTTGGACATGAAAGTGTTCTTCTTTTAAGAAAGTGATTTTAGAATAAAACCACAGATAACGTGTTATTTGTTCTCAGTTCATGCTTCAAATGCCACAGATAATTTTCTAAAGTAAATCATAGTGCACCCTCAATCCTTAACCCTTCCAGGCAGGTAGGTAGAGTGTGTCTGCATGGACATCCCTAATGAATCTACGTTTTCAGTGCACATACCCGCCTCTAACTGCTTTAACCATGTCAATTCCTAGTAGTTCATGGGTTGGTATTTTATTCCAGTGTTCCAGTATTGCTTCTAAATTAAGGGTGTAGATCATTAATCAGAATCTGTGTGGGAATTCATAAGTACATGTCAGCATTGTTTTTTATGAATTTGCTGCTAGACCTACAAGGAAGTTTTGTTCTTTACAAAATAAGTGGAGTCCTTTTCCAGTTTCCCTCAGATGAGGGCAGGTTGACTGTTTTTTGTAATTCGATGAGGGGCAGGAAGGAAGAAGCTGTATGTAAGTTGTAGTATAATGTAGAATTACTTTGTATCAGCATTAAAAAAGGAGCTTATTGGAAGGAGTCAACTAATTAAATTAGTCTATGTGGAGTCTGCTGCCACTGTGAAGCAGTTGCTGATGCAACTTCACTTGCAGCTAACTTGGCTAGCTCTACACAATGTTCTAGTTTGCAGTGGACATGTATGCATTAGTGATTTTCTTCTTTTTATCCCTTAATTATAAGATTCCTATGTTGGAAACTGACCTCTTCACAGTTTGCACATCTGACTATTTACTGTTAAATAGGGATAGCAAAGCAGCCAACATTTTGTAAGAGCAGTGGTTACAATTTTAGTAAGAACAGGTTAAAAATAATGTAAACTGTTTCCTCTACCCTGAAACAAGAAACTGTTATTTTTGAATGTCTAGGTTGATATTTCCAAGGGTGTATAAGAGACCCAAGAATCCATAGGAGCTGGATGTTGTCATATCCTTTGAAATCACCCGCCTCGACTGTGCCTGAAGCCATAGTGTGATAAGCTTTTCTTTTGCTGTCAGTGCCAGTTGAAGTAATTCTTTTGCACAGCCACTCATTTCAGTCCCCGTGCAACCTTTCAGTTGTGCTCGTGCAGCTGTTTGTGCAGCTGCATGGTCGCCTCGTTTGAGAAACTGAAAATAGCCCCACTCTCTCTTCCCTCCCCTTTTTGCAGTGGGGTAACTAACCTGGTTCTGTTTCCCCATCTGACTCTTTGTGTTGCCACAAACAGCTGTGGCGAAACAGCCCGAGGGAATGGCAGGGAGTGGGGATGAGAACATCAGCGGTTGCCTGTAAAAGTTAGCAGTGCTGCTGAACAATTGCTCATGGAGCTGTGCCTTTGGTATGGTTTGGTGTAAGGTAAGCATGTGCCTACCTTTACTCATGGAAATGTTGCTAGAGTCATAGCCTTATTTTTGACCCTACAAAAATAAACAGGGTGTCAATGGTGATCCTGATAACATGCCTTTTGTTCCCTGTGTATTTTAAAAGTATCTTTAGAATTAATTGAGCTATTTCTGATCATTACATGAAATACTGCATATAGTGATATATAAATTGTCAACTTTTAGCATCTTTCCTAGAGAAGCAGTACTATTGGAAAAATTCAAGAAGGAGGGGGAAATAACAGGGGAGGGAGAGGGAAATAACGCACCTTGATAGGCCAGCCAAGCTCTTTCTTTTGTGTCTGAATTGCTCAGAACAAAGCCGGCAGTTTTTGGCACTAGCTCAGTCCATGGAAATACCTGCACCTGCGTGACTGTTGCCAATTAGGAGGTTATGTAAGGTAGCCTAAGCCTGTGGCCAGCTCCTGGAAGTCCTGGCATCACTCCCAGTTCTAACATTAGCAGGCCAGACTGATCCTTGCTTTGACACTGTCAAGAAACAGTACGTTAGCAGAATTTTTGGCAGTTCTCATCAGCGACCACTCAGGAGGGCTGGCATTGCTGCAGGTGTAGAGGAGCACACATAACAGCATTTCCAACTGTCTCATGTTTTGGTGTTTTGCACATGTTCCTTAGGCTGCCTAAGCAGTGCTTCCACAGGTCGTTCAGAATCTATTTAAACAAAGGAACTGCTATTTTTTTAAATTTCACTGGTGCTATTCTGTATGTGCATTGTGGGGAAAAATTTTGCAAAATTACTGGTGTATTTTCCAGAAATTTTTCCATGCAAGGAGGGTTGGCATTTAGAACTCATGTATCTTTTTTGTTCTTGGTATGTTAATGTGCTGTCAGTTTGCAAGACCTTGCTTTCGACTGTATTTATTTGGCTACTTACATGAACAGTAATACTCTTTAGTTGGTCGTGGACTATGAAGTGAAAAGCACTCAGCTAATGCCACGCTATGTCCTGTACCAATATCCACATGCATTAGAAGAAAAAAACCTAGAGGTTTCCTGTTGACTTCTCTTTTTACTGTGCTGGAGCTCAATGGCTGGTATTTCACTGGCATTTGGAATCAAGTTAAGTTGTTCTTTGAGTTGTGGAACTCATAAAGAGTGACTCTGCCCGACATCATCTCCTCAGCAAGGCTTTTATATTTCCATGCTTCTTCCTAGCATCCTCTTAACTTCTCCCCATGTCCTTGACAACTCTCTCCTGCAATATATGGTGTTCTCAAATATGTTCCCTATTGCCTCCTGCTCTCCCCAAATCCCATCTACCTTTTTATTCAACTCTAGCTCTTCCATAGCTAATTGTGTATTGATTTGACATCCAATGCATTTGGATGCAACAGGTAACTTGACTTTCCTGCCTTTCTTTCAGTTGGTGCCGTAATAGGATCCCTCTGTCAGCTGAATCACCAGTTTCACAAAATGTTTAGGCATTTAATACATTTGGAATCTCCTCTCCTGTATTGGATTTAGTTGAAACAGAGCAGTACCTCCATGAATTAATTATAAGACAGATGTCCTAATTGTATTAGGCTTGCTTCCTTAAGAAGCCATGCTAAAATTTTGGAGGCTGAGCTGAATAGATTGAATAAAGCAGAGTAATTTACATAATAAATCTTAAAACAGAATGCTAAAACATCAGAATGTTTCTGAAAGTGGCTTTGGGATATTAAATTGGAAGGCTTTGTTCATGAAATAGCATTATCATAGGCAATGATTTATAATCAAGATGTGAGACTATTCAGCTACTGGAATGTGCAGCTTAAGGCTTTTTTTTATTTTCCCCAGTGTAGGCATTTTTCATTTTATTTTTAATGTCATCGGTTTTTGAACAGTGAAGCATGGCCAGGTAATGCTGTCCCTCATAGTCCAGCTGTTGGTCCTTCAGTCCCTCACCTTTATTGGGAGTTTGTGCTGCAGGTCCATGGGTAAGGAAGGAAGAAGAAGCAGGGCTGTAAAACAGATTTTGTTGTATTCTTTACCCCCTCTCTTATCCCTGACACTAGAACTCCATCCAAGGAATTTCTGCCCTTGCACCATAGCACATGTTCATTCATGCCAACGGTGATTTGCAGTGTTGAGCTATGAACGAGATCAGGAAATGGATGTGACCAAACTTTTTGGGGTGGTGGAGGGAAGGGAAGTGTTGGAGAGATTTGTTTGGCTTGTTTTAAGCTAGGTGAGGCTTTTTATTAGGGTTCGTAATGTGGCATCAAAAATATTTGTGCAGTAAACTGCAGGTGATTGGAACTGAGGATAAAAGGCAGGCATTTTTAAGAACAGTGGCTTCAACGCTGGGTGAGAGCTGGAAGGAATTAGAGATGCAATTCTGTGAATCTGGAAAGGGACAAGGGAAGGAAAAACAAAAGCTTTGGGATTTGCCTGGAAAAGATTTGAAAACACTATTCTAAGTGGCCAGTACTAGCTAAATCAGCTTACTTCATACTGTCTACCACGCTACAGAGAGGGGAAATTTAGGGCACTATGACATGATTAGCATAAGCAAAATCTGGACAGAATGCAGAAGCACCATTTATAACAGCAATAACGATTCTGGGTTTTTTTAGTGAAGACTTGCATTGGAAAGATTATGAGCTGAATATTGTAAATTGGATAGACAGCATTTAAAAAAATTTTAAATGCTTGAGTTTTTTCTGAGGGTTTTGTTTTGGTTTTTTTAAGCATCAGGTAGTGAGATGCACAACTCAAGTAGTGAAATTTTTAATTTAAGAGGCACCCTGATCTCTACTGAGGGGCAGGGCAGAGTTGAGGTTAGGGGGTAGGAAGCCACTGGAGCTCTTATACATAAGCAATCCCTTTATACTGGATAAAAGGTCTGGAACAATGGGCTGTAAAAGCTCCGCATCTGACAGTGGGATGACTCCATTGCTGTCAGCTTTCAAATAGCCATCGAGGCCTCCTTATAAAGATTTTGTCTCAAACCCTGACACAGGAAATGTCAGGGCAAGTTGGAAGGAGAATCACATTAAGGACTGCCTGCATATGTGGCAATCTGACAGCCCTGAGAGACTGTGGTAGCTCATATAGGTCCCTAAGCTATGCCAGATGCCTCCACAGCTCCCTGAACTGCCTTGGAATGGAAAGGCCTAAAATTGTCCGAAAGCTGTTTTAGAATGCTTTCCACAGACTCTTGTACTTACACTTTTGGCTGCAGTTCCCAACTTGGAACTCATGTTTATAGTACATAATTCAAACTCTCTTCATTTGTTCTGATGATTTGTCATAACAATACTAAAACTAATTTTTCTTGGTTTGTTTTTAAAGCAGCTGAAAAAACAAGTCATTATGAAGTGCCTTCTATTACTTTAGAATCCTGATCACTACTGCTTCCAACTTTTACACAACTGTCCATACTTATATTTGACTTACTGATCCAGTTCTTTCTTTTTTAGGTGGAGCCTATCCTGTGGTAAAAGAGTGGTTTGTCTATTTTGGAAATCCGCTCCAGCAGCCAGAGCTGATACAACCTGTACAACCTTCTCTTCCAGGTAGAATAAAAATGTGTTTGAATTGAAATAATGACATCACTAAAATGAGGTTAGACAATTCATCATCACGTTTGATATGGAATCCAAAACAACTGTGGAGAACAAGGAGCTAAAGTAGAAAAGCTGCATGCCTGTAATTGCTTTTAATTACCCTGGGTGTTATAATAGGATTCAGCTTTGAGCTACATATTATGACTCTTGTTAAACGCAGTGCTAATTCAAAAATCAGTTCTAAAATGCAAACAATTTCTTAGAGGTTCTAAATCCTGCTCTGAGGCCAGGATAAGTGGTGTGTAGGGCCATATTAAAATTCTTCTATTAAGCTGTTTGAAAGAATGTGTTAACCAGACTTGCAGAGAATATAAAAAAGGGACATTTTTAGTTCACCTGTGACAACCCAAAAAGAGAATCCAGCTTTCAATAAAAAAATAATTAGGCTGTCTGTTTCTGCGAAGCAGTTTCTACTGTCTTAAGCATCAAGTGTATTGTGTGTTTTTATCTCCTTTCCTTTGGTAAAGGACACATTCATGAACACTTAGTGAAATTTGTGTTACGAGGAATGGGTTACATTTACAAGGTATATCATACGCTTTAGTGAAAAGATTGGGCACTGTATGTGTCACTCATCTCTCTATCACTAAATTGTATCATGAAATACAAGTTTAGGATAGGAAGTAACAGTACTGTATAAATTATGTTATTTCAGAGGGAAAATTGTTCTAATTATTAATTTGTCCGTGCTGTTGTAGTTATAACCCCTCTCTCTTTACTCTTACAGCTCTCTCTGTCTAGTCATCTGCTATCATGATTTTTTATCATGGCTCAGAGGTTTTTTTAGTCTTTCATATGAAATGAGTTAGTTCAAATGATACAGAATACCACTGATGTCTTGTTAAGAAAAATATTATCTATTCTGCTTTTTGAGAGTAATTACCAGTGCTGCTTCCCTCAGTATGCAGAGCTTTCTGTAGCAGTCCCTGTTCTGATCTGGTCTAAATCCAGCTTCAGAAAAAGTTGAAATGCATGCACTTTTTGTTGTGGGTGGTTGGGGATTGCTTTAGAACTTACTTGTTTTTAGTTTTCTAGTGTTACAGTAAATTTTTGTTTAAGGTATCCTAAAACTGTATGTTTATCTCCATATTTTAAACTCATGTATTTTAATAAGAGTCTTCAGATTCAAGGATAAAGGAAAAACAGTCACTCTTTAGATATCAGCCTTTTCAAAATCTTTTTGAAAGGAGCTGTTTGGAAAGAAATTAGTTATATAGCCAAAGTACAAATAAGGTTTCATTTGGTATGCTGTAGTTTCACTGTACAGCACCCCTGATACAACGTTAGGAGAGTGATTGTCTAACTGACAAGCTGTGTGGTGCGGTTGACACGCTG